ACCCATTGTATAGTCTTATGTATTCTGTTAAGTTTCTCATTGATACTCATGCGCTGACGAAGGTAGCAGGAGTCTGCGTCTACCTACTGATTTATTCCTACGATGAGACATACGTCGATCCACATCAACAACACCGATTGAATATGAATTTTATGTATATATATATATATATATGTTGTGTATTTGTATTATATGTGTGTGTAGCATGAAGAACACTCTTTAACATACAAACTAATGTAATATTCATCACTTAGTGCACAATAACTTCATATACAATATTGTACAATATACAACAATATAGGGCGTATAATTCAATGCTCTGCCGGGTTTTGGGCCACAATGAAAATAAGTTGGCTAGTTCATTACTTTATTGTGTTGTTACCCTTGAATATTATTTTTGTATTCAGAATAAGGAAATTTAAAAAAGGTATCAATGGTGGGTATTTAGAGGTCAACAATAACTACCTGTCTTTAAAAAAAAAAAAATTATTATTACTACTACAAGTGGTGTGGCATGTGGTGCAGTCATTACCAGTAAGATGTCTCCACGCAAACGGAAATAGGGCTCCATTTTTTTTCTGGGGGTGACTGTTTCCAGCACCAGTGAAATATTTTATGAACAGTTTATGAATGCTGCAATGTCATTATTATTATTATTATTATTGTTATTATTATTACTATTTATTATTATTATTATTGTTTAGTGCTTAGAGACCTTGGTTATTTGCGCCTTAATTGACCTATTATTTTTACCTGTATTATAAAATATATATTTTTTTCAATAAAAAAAAAATGGTGCTATAAAGAAAATTATATTTAAATCTTATGTCTGGAAATACAATTTCCAGCCATCTAGAGGTACCATAATTTAAAATTTTCTTACTTCAGTCCCAACCATGGTTTAGCTGAGGTAGTAGATCCTCTTTCTGTGAAAGTACCCCCCCACCCTTCTTGGCTTATTTCGAATTCGCCACTGTAAATTAAAACATATTATGAAATCATATTACAGTAGCTTGATGCCTATAAAAAAACTAATAAAATTCACCAAACTTCGCAAGATTCAGCAAAAATTACCCAAGATTCCTGAAAATGCATTAAAATTTGAAAACGTGTTTTTCGCATGTATAGTTTAACTTTTAGTTCAATTTATAAACCATTTTTTATTGTAATTGTTTGTGTTAATTATTAAAATTAATATTCATGAGGTGATAATACGGATAGAAAAATACGCCCTCAGTCGGCCAGTGTTATCAGTAGATCAGTGATCAAGTTTTATTATGTAATGCATTAATCAGGTAAGGGGTCATTCTTCAGTAAATTGCCATTTTCCCGTCCCTCTGTTTTGATGTAGTATAAATTTTTAAAATATAAAGGAAGTTTTATTTTTATTGCGTTAATGCAATCTCGAACATATTTGTTAATGAAATAAGTTGTTAAATATTTTTAAAGTAATCAACATGCTGTTTATTTTTCAACAAAAAGCCTCCAAAGTCGCGCACTTTGCATGTCCCGATTGGATTTCTTAAAAATTCCTAATGTCATAATTTGTAAAATAAATAACTTAAATAAATAAATGTACCACAAAAAGGTGAATACAAAAGATGTCTTACAAATTTAAAATTAAAAATGACATCAATAGATCTATAAATACTTAAAATTTGACTTTTTTAGACTAAAAAAGTTTGTCCCTGAATTGTCATCATCTCCGTCACAATACATTAAAATGCCATTATAGCTGTTAGCAAAATGACATAACAAGTTATGAATCAAACCATTTTGGTTAAAGGGGACCATACAGTAAGAAACAGTCCATTCTTGTACAGTTTAACCACCTATAGCTGAAGAATTCATACTTTTCTAATAACAACTAGGAAAGTACCTTTATTCAGCATCATCTCCGAACGCTTCAGAGTATCCTTTATTTATAATTTTTTTAGAAAAAAATAATTATATATACGATCAGAACTGTGTCATTTTCAAAGTACACATGACATTCACCCTGTAACACACTGCATATGGCACTATATGATCTAACAAGTTTAATTCCTCATCTCCGTCACAGTCATTTCCATCACAATTTTACTGTGATGGAGATGATTTCTTGATGTTTTCTTTCCTCAAAAAAGAATATATAATAACAATTATAATTGATCTGGTTCATGTTGTTAGAAACCTTTTTGCTCAATGTTTATTTTTCTATATTTAAATAATATAATCTATCTTTTAAATTTACTAGGATTCTCATTTATGAGTATATCATCATCTCCGTCACAACAAAGTGTGACGGAGATATTTCTTGATGTTTTCTTTTCTCAGAAACAGCTATAAAAAAAAAATGGTAATTGATAAGACTTACGTTGTTAGAAACCCGTTTGTTCAATGTGCATTATCCTATATTTAAATAATACAATCTATCTTTTAAATTTACTAAGATTCACATCTATATGTATATCATCTCCGTCACAAAAAGTGTGATGGAGATGATTCTTGCAATATTTGATGACATGTGTAATAAAAGAATTACAAATGTTAAACTTTTTTTTTCATGATTTCTAAACCTCTAAAATGGCACATTAGCGAAGAATGACCCTAAGATCAATGACAACGCAAATCACAAATAAACAATTTTGAACCCATGTTTATAGCAATTAACAGTCAATTAACAATGTTATGTGCACTTTGTTGAGTTTTGCTTACTTGAATGGACTGAAATATACTTTGTTACTTCTTAATTCTTCCTCTATAACAAAAATATTTAATTGTCCTAGTAAAAATAAAATACCCAAGGATTTGAACGGAATACCCAAGAACCCAAGACCAAGTCAAAATACCCAAGATCTTGGGTAAATACCCAAGCAGTGGTCACACTGCTATTAGGCCTCTGTGCATCTGGCTGTTTTTAATAGAAAAACCCCTACTTCCCGCGTCTGAGTTGATTTATTCCAAGAATCAAGTTTTACGGAATTCATAAATATTCAATAAGCCAATATCCAATCAGAGAGGGATCCAAGGCTGTTTCTCGGTAAGCAGCTGCTCTGTTGGACTTTCCCAGCTAAGTCTTTCTCATCATTCATGCAGTGCTTTCAGCGTTAGACTGCGATGTTTTGAACTGCAGAGTAAGGTAAACATTTAGTGAATATGTATTTATCATTGGTTTTCTTTGTGATTAAACGTTATTTTAGGTCTTAATTTGGCTATATAAAAGTATTTTTGATCCTTGAATTAGATGGATATTGGGGGTCGTGCGGGCACATGACTCCTCACACTTTCATCACATCGTCACTGTCAGTCGGGAACGACAGCCTGTTGCGATGATGTTGTTTGAATGGGTGCTATAGATTTTGCTGGGTGTGATGAGTAGGCCTACACCAGCCTTATCTTTGGCATACTCTATTTTATACTGTACACTCACCGTGGATGGAAGGCTGTGCCTAAAAGAAGAATTATTGTAGTAGTTGGTGAACTCTCAAAAGTACGCTTGTTCCATAATACTGTAGGCCTATTAGTAAATTAAATTAGGCTTGTATGCTAGGCCTCCTAGCTAGCCCCTCTGTCTATAGACTTCAGTATGCTTGTGTACAGTAGCAAGTTCGATCATTTCAGTACTTCGTAGTTTACGTCGTTTAGCATGCAGCATATGTTCATACTTGCGTAGATAGTTCGGCGCTAATAAGGTTTCGTATCTTCTGCAGTCCTAAAATCATTAATTACTAAATTATTTAACACTTACAATTATTCAATACTAATACATTCCTAAATGATTTTACTTCCCTATAATCCACTTATTATCCAACAATTATGGTTTCTAATTAAGTTAATTAACCATAATTAGGATGGTTAATGTCTGCACCATCTTACACTCCCGACTTGTAGTACATGTCAACAACTTTGCGGCGTTGCCAGAATCAGGGCAAAATTTTATACCATGGTAGCCATACATGTGCGCTAAGTTTAAGCGCGCCTAGGCCTAAGTGGAAATAGTATCAATTTCACTCAAAATCTTATTTATCCAACAATTGTTTCTAAGTAAGTTAATTAAACCATTAATTAGGACTGTTAACATCTTCGATGATACACTCTCGGCTTGTAGTACATGTCAACAACTTTGCGGCGTTGCCAGATTCAGGCCAAAAAATGTGCGCTGATTTTAAGTGCTCCTAGGCCTAAGTGGAAATAGTATGAATTTAATTATTCTACTTTTCACTTAAATATTTTATCTTCAACAAGAAAAATACATAATACAAAAAGACGAACCACAAAACAATACAAGTTTCCAGAAATCCTAATGCAGCAAAATAATTGGTTCCAAAAATTACAATTGGGCACAAATTATATGACACCTGCAGTCGTCGACTGTACTGTGTGTGTGGTACGGCGGAGTGGAGTTGATTGTGTTGAGCCATTGGGTGTTATTATCGATATACCGTCCTAATTATTGGTTAATTAACTAAATTAGAACCGTAATTATGGAATAATAAGTGGCTCATATGAAAGTCAAATCATCAAAGAACTTGTTAGTGTAGAATAATTGTAAGTTTTATAATTTGGTAACCGTTTTCAGAGCCGGATGCGAAACCGTATTAGCGCCAATAGTTTGAATTCCTTTATTGAGACCTCTACTACTGCATAGGCCAAATAGGCCCCTGCCCTCCTCATATTACATTTTTGCAGCTAGCGTCCAGACTGCTGCACCTACTTCAACTGGAACTTGATTATTGGGGTCCAATAATCAACTTGAACTTGATTATTGGGGTCCAATAATCAACTTGAACTTGATTATTGGACGTCACTTAAGCTTGGGCACATAGACAAAATTGTTAGATTATCACTGCTGCCCGCATAAAAAATTTGAAAAATATTAATGTGGGAATTTAGAAAAAAAAATTTTTTTTGCCACATTATGTATTTCAACAGCATAAAAAAAAAGAATAAAATTAAACCTGTTTTTATACATATTTACGATATTCTTCCCAAATATAACCAGTCCCTCCCTCATCAATAAAGAAAAAAAGCAATTCTATTGTTCCGATTAAAAAAAAAAAACCTGTCTGCCCTCATCACTTTCTTAAAAAAAAGATTGATAATCTAATATTTTTTTCTGTGTGCCCTAACCTTCTCATCCCCCTTGTCAATACTCCAGGCGCGGATCCAGCGGGAGGGCTGTGAGGGCCTACCCCCTCCCCCGTCAGTCAAGCTGAAAAATAAAAAAGAGCAAAAAAAAATTTAGATAAAGAGAGGGAAAAAGGGAGTGCACCCATGAGTTCAATGGCGATCTAGCAGTGGAAGAAAGGAGAGCACAATTGTTTACCACTTATTTACACCAACGATGTTGGGGTGGAGGTGGGCGTGGCCCCCCTCCCTCCAATTAAAGATCACTTTTGGGACCTGGGTTTTTATGGTCTTTAGCAGCTTTGGTCTTTAATTAGAATAATAAATCTAAAATGTATTTTAGCTTTAATTAGAATAATAAAGCTAAAATACATTTGCATATATGGGACCACAGAAAAGTGGTCTTTAATTAGAGGGAGACCCTGTAAATATTGACTGGTAAACTATCAGCTGCTCAAATTTCCTAAACCTGTTTCTGTCATCAAAATTAAGGATTTTTGTAGTAAAATTATTCATTGAAAACTTATTTTTTATTTCAATGCTAAATACAGGTTTCCCTCCAATTAAAGACCACCTCTAAATAAAGACCACTTTTATGTGGTCCCATATTAACAGATGTCTTTTATTTTTATTTGTATCTAATTAGTGATCAAAGGTTCTAAAGACCATGGAAGCCCCAGTCCCAAAATTGATCCTGAGTGCAAGTGTCTTCCACATCTCATGCATGTTTGGCTTGGTTTACTAGCATATAGTTATTGCTTATACCCTATTCAGACTAGACTTTGCATTGCGACCGGTTGCGATGTAATCGGTGGTAAACAGTTGTAATCCAAATTGTTCACAAACTTCTACAGCATTTACTTTGATACTTTACATCACTAGCAACAATATAGGTCGTCCTGTTTTGTTTGACCTCAGCCAATCAGTGCCTGTGGAATCCGTTGCGATCGGATTCCGTACTATTGGTGAGCTTTCAGACACGATTTTACTTTGCGATTGGGTGCCATTGGGTGTCGCAGTTGCTACAATCGATCGCAAAGCTAGTCTGAATGTGGTATTATATTTAGGCATAGGATGTGATTCTTGTCTACTTTTATAGCGTTGATTATCGTTTTTCTTTATTGCATTCAAACTTGCGATTATGGTTGAGTTTGAGCCTTTGCTATGTGAATTTGGAACTGTTAGAGGTGGTTTTTATCGCTGTTGGTTTTGAAACTGAATAAAAATAACAAAGCACTTAACTTACAGTTATCTCTCTACCCATAGGTTCAACTGTATGTTTTATATTGTATATTCAATAAGGCCTAAAATAAATTTGTTTGTTTACCCTCCTCATGCAACCATAACTGACTAAAAAAAAGTTTTTATTTTTTTTAGCTTTTTACTTTACAAATTAAAACAAATTGTGAGTAAATTGATCTTTATTTTTTGCCAGATGCCCTACAAAAGTCGACTAAAGTTGTTGTCTGATGTATGATATTGCCATTCTAGGCCTACATTCATTGCAAAATTTCAACTGTGTCTTATTATTATTCCTTTTGATGATTAATCGTGAAAAAAAAAAAATTTTTCCATTAAATTTAGGGGAATAGGGTTGGGTAGCTTAAGATATTTAGTGTTTAGTACTTTTTTTCAGATGTGATATCAATAGACTATTATGTTATCATCTTTCATTTATGATTTAGGTCAATAGTTAGCATGACAGCCAATATTCTGAAGATGTCTCGGACGACTCATAAAGACCAATCTGTCCTGCACTCGCAAACAAACGGTATCCCTTTGCAACAACACAATAACAACAGCACAAATGCTGTCCTCAAAAATGGACCATTACTTCAGAGGCAAGAGAGCCTTGAAAATGGGAACTATGACATCAACTGTGGAAGTAAGTTTCCACTGAACATGTATTAACTTTGGCAGTATTAGCAAAATTTTGCCAATTGTGTTTTTGCTCCATAGCGATAAGAGTGTTTGATAGAAATAATGATAATGATAATATCTTGAGTAGAATACTACACTTCATTATTGAGAATAATAAAAATAATAATCATAATAATGATAATTATAAATAAGTGACATTTATAAAGTACTCTATGCCGACAAGCCGACCCCAGAGCGCATACAATCAATCATATTTAAACAATACAATACAGTTAACATAAAGATAACAGAAATTCATCCAATGAATCAATATGGCATTGTCATTGGAAATTGTTTATGCAGTGGTATAGTCAAGTGTTGCTATATTTGCAAAGCTTTCTTCAATTTCCCTTGAGCACTCTCTTTAACCTATTTGCATGGCAAGTAAAAATAAATTTAGCACTATACCCTTAAAGCAGGCTTGAAAAAAACGTTCTTGTGCCTATGAAATTTATCTTGGTGAAATTCCTCCAGCACCAAATCTTATCTGTACACTATAGTTGTTTTTTATTTGTTTTAAAAGTTTCTCCAGTGAAATGCACAATGCACCCAGAGCACTATAGCCCATCAGTAGGCTCCTAAGTAGTTGTCTGGGGAAAGCAAAATAAAACAAAATGATCATGCTTGTTTTATTGACAGAGGTGCAGGCATTCTCCTATAGGGATTCGGGGTTCCCCGCTTGAGACCAGGATCTGTCAACGGGTCCAGGGTTTCCCTGATGGGGTCCAGTACCTCTAGCCCTTTCACTGCCACCACCACTGGTGTCAGGCATTACATCACCATTCTGAAGTAGCTAATGATTTGGTTTTGCTTTGATACATAGCCATTTCAAAAGAATCCAACGCTGCAACGGAAAAACGACGAGAAGATTATAGATCGCATGGATCAAGTGGAATTGGAAGTGGGTCTGCAGAAACATATTATGATGAATCCCTTCTGGGTAGTAGTATGGAGAGTGGTTATTCTGGAGCCAGGCGACGGTCTTCAACCTATTCTGACAATAAGATCCAAGAAGTAATTACAGAGGAAGGCAGAGAAACGGCGAAAACACAAGAGAATCATAAAGAAACAATTCTGAGACAATGCATGAAGAGGAGTAGCGAAGATATGTGTAATTCCTTTGAAACGCACCGTGAAAAGATTTTTAAAAGTGATATTGAGCAGATTCGGCAGAAGTTGAATGAATCTATTCAAATCATGCTAAGTATGGATGTAATTACCAGCGAGTGTTTGAGCCGTTATAGAATCGCCGCTCAGCAACTACATGCATTGGGCTCAAATGAGTACAAAAATGTGACCCAAGATCTTATTGAAATGGAAACTAGCGAGGAAAGAAATGAATCAGTTGATGTATACGATTGTAATAAAAGTAAAAAGGTTTCCAGGTTAGTGAGTGCTGATTCTGCTGATGTGTCAGTCTCCCCTCCGGAAATTAAAAAGGAAGAAAATCATCCATCAGCATCATCATCAAAATCCTTTGAACTTCCAGAAGAAGAATTTGCAGAGATACAGCAATCAGTAAGTATTTCAAAATAATGAAGTGTAGAAAGCCCTTAAAAACTGTTGGCTTCATACATTTCATGGTTCACTCTTAAAGCGAGGATAAAATTTAAATGTGCATAGATTTTTCACTTTAACAAGGATTTTGTTCCACATTCAAATTTTTCACCACTCCCCAATAAGGTGGAAACCAGCCTAAATTTCTGATCACGATAGTTTGCATCACATTCTTAGGGACAAATGTGAAGACATTCTCAGCACATACAACAGTTCTTTTCAGAACTATCTATGTGGTGTACTGCAAGAATTTAATAATATACTTCGCAATACACAATATTTTCCAATAATAATTATGCTTTTAGCTTCACAGTGTTTAACAGGTTATATCAAATTCTAGTTAAGTTACAGGTACAGAGATTGTATAACATAAGTTGTGACCTTTCTAATAGATTTATTTTGATTCAAAACTATTTGCTTGCATGTTAACTATGAACAAAATCTCAATTTGCATAATAAAATTTGATGAATTACATATCAAATGCCTTGCTGACCGAAATCCTACCATCATAAAAATTACAATAGTAGTGTTGTTAATGTTAAGTGGATGCTTAATATACATATAATGAATGTTTATGAGTGCAATGAGAAGAATATTTTCATTCCTTGAAAGATTGGCTGTTACATTCAACGAGACGAAGCCAAGTTGAATGTAACAGTCAATCTTCCAGCGAATGAAAAATATTCTTTCCATTGCACGAAAACATAACACTCATTATTAGTTTGATAACACACCTAAATAGTCTGCAATACATTGCACACCACTACTTTGGACAAGTTCAGCAAGAAGTAGGCTTATGGTTATAGATGACGTGACGTCATTTCATGGATTTAACCTTCCGGAAAAATTCTGTCCTGCGTCGTTTTAACCAATCAAAAGATTATATTAGGTTGAAGTCATTTCTTATCCATAAGAAACGTGCAACGGACAATATGGGAATGCATAGTGGAACAAAATTTCATGATGAGTGATAAAATGGGGAAAATCACTGATGTCACATGGTAATGGCTGGGATCTATTTAGGTGTGTTATAATACTTGTTTCTTCTTGCTTGTATAGCACTTTCCCTTTCAGTTACGAAGCACTGTAATTTTTTCCCTGGTCAGGTCCAGGCTTAAGTGCTGCCATATTGGTGTAGCAGGCAACCCCACCAGGTACCTGTTTATACTCCTGGGTGGAGAGAAGCCACACAGATAAACACAGAAAGCAATCCTTCATTACAATTATCAAATATATTAGGTTTACATGGTGGTATATTACAGTCCACTGATTAATCTCTGATAAAATATTATGATACATACTCCAAGCATCGAAATGCACACCATCGTGTCGGGATTCAATATTGCGACATAATTATGTCATCATCAGGATATATACTGTCTCTTATACACATCTAGATGTGTATAAGAGACAGAGTATGGAGAGTGGTTATTCTGGAGCCACTGGAAGGAATCCCAATATCTGCAGACGGATCCGTTTCGGCCTTTCAGGCCTCATCAGTGTAGCTAGGGTATAGACCAGCTTAGGTAGGGCCCAAACTAGTCCCACGACCACTAATGATTACAGAGCTTTCAAAATATATACATTATTAAAGAATCTCTATTGAGATCCAGTGGGCCGCCAATGATGCACGGTAGAGATTGCATCTTTAGATCTCCGATCTTGTTCACAAATTCACGGACTAGTGCTGTCTCGTAAGAATTTTGTAGGACGCGTTAAGAGTGACAAAATATTCTCTGTATCTACTGGAACCGAGCCACATAGCTTGTATTCCACTATTTGCATTCACACCTGGGCTATGTATATATATTGCCTTGGTTTGGCTCTCATGTAATCATTAGTGGTCGTGGGACTAGTTTGGGCCCTACCTAAGCTGGTCGAACGTTTCGTTTGGGTCTACACCCTAGCTGCACTGATGAGGCCTGAAAGGACGAAACGGATCCGTCTGCAGATATTGAGATTCCTTCCAGTGGATGCTTAGTTTATTTTGTCATTCTGATCGGATTTTCTCTACTGTTCCGTTTTAATTTTATATATATATATATATATTTATCATTCCAGATGATGACATAATTAATGTCGAAATATTGAATCCCGACATGATGGCGTGCATTTTGATACTTGGAGTATGTATTATACTATCGTATATTACAGTAATGCTTTTGTTAATTTTATCCAAGCACAAGCCCCCTGAATTTGATCTGCTGTCTGAAAATACATATGCAAGCAATGTTGAATCACCGCTATCTCCCAGCATACAGCGAGAAGAGTCAATAGAATTACCGTCGGATTGCCTTGATTGCCTTGATACTCCTACGACTGGCCGAGTATGATTCCTTATTTTTATTACTAGGGAGCTTTTGATTTGTGCGACGATGTGACGCTAGAACAGAATCACTCATGCGTGACCGTTCTACGTTCTCTGCATACGTAGATTTGGCCAAATTGCGTTCAAGAATCTACTCGACGAGGTGATCTTAATATTCTCGCATGTGCAGATGACTTTTAGTGACGTTATTACGTTCTACGTCCTGCCATCGTTGTGCAATCAAAAGCTCCCTAGTGTTGCAGTAGACTCCCTCGTTAGGGACACCCCTATTAGGGAAACACTTTTTCGACCACAAAACGTGAAAAGTATATCTTTTAACACTACGGCTAACTCCTATTCAGGGGACACACATTCAGGGACACCCCTATTTATGGGACACTTTTTTGGGTCCCAAGGGTAGGGGTCCCAAGGGCAGGGGTCCCAAGTTGTAAGGATTCCTTTTTTGGGAAATCTGGTTAAATGAGCTTTCTTAGCATATTTAAATATATTTTGCTGCGCATGGTGATACCAATGACTTCCGTAAGGCAATTTATAATACTGTAAAGTAGTAAAAACTTGCAAATATTTTCCGGTAGATTCTTGCTTACTTGCGGAAGTGCGGGAGGCTGTCCCAATATTTCCGGGAGACTCCCGTGACTTCCAGGCGACTTGGAACCCCTGCGAAGGTGTCCCCTTGATAGGGGTTCTAGTGTATTTAGGCATGCGGGCCAAGGATTGCAATTTATTTAAGTCTACACTATCAAATTTAATGTAACAAATTTGTGTGATGTGCCCATATAGGGTCATAGTGATGTCATACTACCCCCAAATATGGGCATATTACTGATATAGAATCTGATAGTGTTAACAACGTTTATAATTAATTAATGCATTACTCTTTTCTCTCAATAATAAGCATGGGCTAGCTACTCTTGATATCCCCAAGCCATGTATACAGCGAGAAGCTCTGCAATTGAGTAGTCAGTGCCAAGACCAAAGCTGCTGTCAACCGCAATGTCGTAAGGTAAAAAATCTTTTTAGGTAAAAGATTGAAAGAGTGCTTGAATATACACTATAGGAATATTAAAAACTAACAAATAATGTAACAAAATATTACTGTGAAAAATGAATACAAAATATAATATAGAGAAAACCTTTTATCAGTTTGCATGACATTTATATACAATATAATCCATTTAACAAATAACACAAGTTAAAACAGGAGCAGATCCAGAATTTTCCAAATGGGGGTGGGGGGGCACAGCAGTCTCAGAATAGGTTAGTGGGTAGCACATAACTTTGATTTGCATTAAAAAAAAAATTAATTTAATGGCAAAACTGGGGGCACGTGGCCCCGTGTCCCACTGGATCCATCCCTGTAAAACTATTGGAAGTTACAGTACATGAGGCTTGCCATGCCAATACTAACATCAGTCACCAAAACAAGAAGATTGACCTTTTAATATATTCATGTAATTTATTATAAACTTCAAAATGATAGGTCATTTACTGGAATCGACTGACTTTTCTGAGTAAAAGTATTGCAGCTTCTCTGTACACTAAATTATACAATACGTGTAAGTTCGAAACTTCTCATACTGTGTTAAAGCTAATTACTATCAGTATAATGTATCTGCAAGTCTAAACAAGATTCACAATCTGTTTGATAGGTGCATGAAATTTTGACATATCTGAAAAAATGTTCAAAAAGTAAACAGCCATGCTTAGATTGTCGAGATGTTGTCGATTGCCTCTATCACCATAGCAACCTTTGTGAAGAATTGAAAT